AATGCAAAAATAAAAAGACTAGGTCTAGCATACATGCCAACCAATAGAAATGCTCTAATATGTTTTATTCATTAAAAAAAAATTAAATTAAGAACAAATGATGAGTGTTTGGGTTTGTACTTGGGTCTAAAATAGACTCAAGTGTGGACTTGGTCTCTTTTTTTCACTGCCACATAAGCTAGACCATGTCCACTTTTAATGCATTGTGAAGTATTTTTTTATAGACTAAGTCTATTTCCCATGTGGCATGTGATTTTTTGTTAAGAGACCCAAAGCATTGTGGGTGCTCTAAATGGTGGTTTTCAATTTTTATGTTATTGGGCCTTATTTTAATTTGGCCCACACAAGAAAGAAAAGAAAATCAGGAGAAGTTCAGTGAAACACTCGAGATGGCCATTTAGTGGGTTAAAAATCCGGGGTCGAGCCTTTCTGTCTCTAAAGTCGAATGAATAAAACACAGCCGGACTAATCTCTTTATCACCCGAAGCGCAACCGGGCAGACCACCTCCTCGTCCGAATCACTTTACTGTACAGACAACCATCTGCGGCCCGAAGTGATTGACCACAATCAAGATGTACACATTACCACTCAATATGCCGAAAGCTGGGAGAATAAAATTATTCAAAATTAGCTGACGTATCAACTGCCCTTATTTATCAATGGTGAGGCCGGATTCCCTTATCCACGACGAGAACAAATTTACTTATCAATGCTGGGGCCAAGTTCAATTATCAACGCTGGGGGCCGACTTCATTTATCTATGCCAAATTCGAAGCCACTCATCTATTTTCGACGGTCTACTCATTCACGCCGTGCTCGACCACCTATTTGTGACGTCCCCATTTTCTCGCCGTTGAGCCTCGTCTCCGGCAGAGCCGACGTCCCCATTTTCTCGCCGTTGAGCTCCAACTCCGGCTGAGCTGACGTCGATACATTTTCTCACCGTTGAGCTCCGACTCCGGCTGAGCTAACGTCGATACATTTTCTCGCCGTTGAGCTCCGACTCCGGCTGAGCTGACGTCGATATATTTTCTCACTGTTGAGCCTCGTCTCCGGCTGAGCCGACATCCACATTCTCTCGCCGTTGAGCCTCGTCTCTGGCTGAGCTGGCGTCCACATTTTCTCGCTGTTGAGCCTCGTCTCCAACTGAGCCGACATTCACATTTTCCTGCCATCGAGCCTCTGCTCCGACGCAAAATTAAATCCGAGCATTAAAGGTATCGGTACTCTACATCAAATCCGAGCATTAAAGGTCTCGGTGCTATAATTAAAATCCGAGCATTAAAGGTCCTGGTGCTATGACAAAAATCCGAGCATTAAAGGTCTCGGTGCTGTGACAATCTCTTAATAATCCAGGTCCAACGATGATTTGATCGGACACAAATAGCGCCGACTTTTCAGAATATGACATTTGACTCACAAAAAGGACTCAGACTCGACGAAATATCGAGGTAACATCATTTATCGTGCATTAATTATTTATCGCACGTACTCATTATATATTCATGCATTCATACATACGTTCATCACATACGCGCGTCATACATACATCTGACATAAAGTTTCTTTTCCAAACCTTGAAATTGCTTTTGGTAAGGATAATGCCCTACATATTGCATTAAAGATCGTGAATACACTACCCGACCAAGAAATGATTAAATAGAAATTAGACCAACGAACGGATACCATGCTACCTGACCAGGTCCGCATTACGTAGAAAAACAATCACAAACGTAAAAAATCACGCCATCTCAATATGACAAAATCGCGAAATCGGTAACAATTCCGGGGGCCCGAGTGCCTACGCAAATCCATTTCATTATTACCATTACAGAAACAAATCCATCAGACGCTTCACATTACACACAAAAACGCGAAAGTCGGGTACCAAATTACCCGACTAGGCCATTCAGGCCCCATTCACATAGCAATTTCAAAAGAATTGACTATCCACGCAATCGACTCAATTTATCAGAATAAAGAAACGATTGACGTCAATACACCAGGTCAAAGCCTGAACACGATCAACAATTTGGCTCCACGGGTCTCAAAGTACCTGGCCAACGTCAATACATCATTCATCGCAACCAAAATTCATTTTACATGTGACTTCAGAACAGTTCTATTCAGGATATGTCCTAAAGTCAGGGGCCTCTATGTTGACATCAAATTTTGGTCTCGCTTATTAAAATATTACATGTGGATATATGTGTTAAATAAATATAAAATAGCAGGTTATCCAATTTATTTTATTATTAAATAAGTCCCCAAAAGTTAAGATTGTCCGTATTCGAGCCCAGCAGAATTCGACGTCATCAGCTCGACCCAGATATCATAAAGAAGCCGCCCCAACAGACAGATATCAATCGAAGCCATTATTTATTTCATTATTTATTTATTCATTATTTATTATTGTTGGACCCTGCATGGTCACATTTGATTTATTACATTTGTCTTTGTAAAATATTGTAAAGGCCCAACATATAAGGGCCCATTAGACGAATATATATATATATATATATATATATATATATATATATATATCCCCGATGATGGATATCAGACGGATAAGTCTGAGGGGGCTTCACTTTTTCTTTGGCTCTCTGATCGAAAATTCCTTTCCTTCTTCCTAAGAAAAGAAACAAAGACTTATATTCTTGATTTCCCTTCAATTTTTCTTGATTTATTTACAAAAAATACACTAAATAATCGATGTATACACACAATCTGAACCCCCCCCCCATGTTGTTACAAAATCATACGACAACAGGTTCTTTATACGTATGTTGTAATGAGAATTTGTATTTTGATATTTGTTTGAAGTAATGCCTGCAAAAGTTAATTAATGATATCATTTGTAAGAACATGTTGGAAATATGCCTGCAAATGGTTTAGAGGTTAACTAATCTGGTAGCTCTTTGGGTTCATGAGTATCTTATAGCAATATATATCAATTTTTGAACATTCACAACTTGTATTTTACAGACTATTTACATTCAAAATAAAGATACGAGAACACAACTATTACAAGACCAACATAAACATTACATTGTATTATAGATCTATGATCAACCAAAAGAGTTTGAACAACATGCGTTATCCATCACCATTAAATTCATTACACTACAACAGAGTTTGAACACTAAAGAGATCAGCCAATCTGAAAGCTTAAAAAGTACTACAACATGCAATATATTATCAACCGAGAGATTAGAATTACAATCCACATATAACGCTCTCAAGGACTCTTCCTCTTCAAGCATAATTCCATTTTAACTATTTTTTCTATAATAGTTTCAATACATGCTCCAACCTATTTCAAATCCAATTAAAGTTTTTTTCACATTGGACTCCAACCTCATCACGTATGCTTCAAGGATTTGAGCTTCACTTTCAAATTTGTTGCCACATTTCAAAAGCCTTGGAATGATTCACGAGCTCACAACAGTAGCTCAATCCACGAAAAATATATATAACCATCATCCTCCTACAAAATTCAATGAAAAAAGCAAATTAATTTCACGAGCTCTATGGTTTACTGAATTCGCCCAATTTCAGAAATTAGGGTTAACCTAATAAATCACTCACGTGATATTTTGCGCAAGAAACATATCTCTTTCCTGGATTTAGGATACTCCATGATGTTTTTGTAGCAACATTGATAGCACAATTTGAGAGTTGACCCTTCACAGGGGTGAAAAAATGAGACCTCACAAGTACTGCGCACCATTTTGAACAATTTGCACAGAATGTCCATATTGTCCTTCAAACATCAGTCAAAATGACGTTTTTACCCTTAAATTTGGTACGTGCGTCTCGCACGTTCACTTTTCCTTGCAAATTGGACCGCCTATGGCCGGATGTTGCATATAAACATTTTGTGTATTAAAAATTGCAACTTACTACAAAAAACTGTTTAGGTTGCAAATCTCAAATACACGAATAATACAGGTTGTAAAATACTATTTACCCTTATAGTAATAATAATGGCCTGTAGAATAGTTTACAAAATCATATAATACCAAAAACACATAAAATATCAATTCATATTTTATTTTGATTTGGATGTTTTCCCCATATAAATTATGTTTTTGACACTTTGTTCACCACAAAGAAGTGAAGAAATGTGATTTTCGTAATCGAATCTCCATATAATGCATGTGAAGGTTGAAAAAAAGGGATCGTTATAAATCTTTACGGACTCATTACAAGCCTAGATTCAATTTTTTTTATACAATCTCACTCTTCTATCCACGATTAACACGTGTCACCGTATGTACCACCTAATGTAGCGGAAGATCAACACATACTGGTGAGTGTAGTATTCCTAGATTATAATTTTTTAAAATGTGGTTAGCTGATGGACATTTCTAAGAAACACATTAGGACTTTGCTTGTTTATAAAAAACTAGAAAAATATTATCTCAATTCAAAATCTAATCCAATCACACTATTCTCAATTTTATCAATATAATTAAATAATATCATTCAATTATTCTTACACATCACATCAATTTTAAGTCACTATTCATCAGCTCACACAATTTTAACTACCTATCATTCCAATCATTTATCTTCTACTTTTACATCAAATCAATTTTAATCATTTTATTTTAAATATTATTTTAATACATTCTTAAAATCACACTAACAACTAACCATACTAATTTAAAAAAAACTAATTATACTAATTTTATTTTTTTCAAATAAACTCTAGTTAATACAAAAAAANTTTTATTATTAACACTTGAAAGATTTTCACACAATTACCTCCCCAAACAACCAAGCCAAAATTTGACCCCATTTTTAGACTTGTAAAATCTTTCCCAAAATTACACCAAATTTGGTCAACGCCCCCAAATCAGCCCACAAGATATCTATTTATTTATTTAATTTTCCAATCAACCCCAAAATTTGTAAAAAACCCATCCACAAGACCCCTCACCTAACCATTATTCACACACTTCACCCACTCAAAAAGCTATAAATTCACCCAAACCGCCTCCTTCCTACCCCCAGCCCGCTTTATTACTCATAAACTCGTTTGCTTATTTTACTCTAAAATCCCAAACACCACAATTTTTTAAATTATAAAAAAATGATAATAAAATAAAAAAATAAACAAAATGCGAGCCCAAAGGACAAAGCAGATGCGTATATATATAAAATCCATCTCCCTGCAATCATTTTAGCCTTTTTCTTCTATCCCCCAGAGGCCCCATCTTGCTTTCTCTCTCTACAAATCTGTAGATTGAATTTGTGCTGGTTTTTATACTCCCGTTGATTCTAGATTTACTGATTTTTCATTTGAGAATCGAATTCTTTTAGGTTTTGTCGGTGGGATTTGTAGATCGGAGAGGATGGTCGAGACGCGGCGGAGCTCGTCGGCCTCCAAGCGGCCCCTTGCTTCTTCACCATCGTTGCCCAACGGAAAGCGATCCAAGGTTGGGCTTCTGGTTTTTCACCTTTAGCTTGATTCGTTTGTACTGTTTTTTTTTTGTTCATTTCTTTTTTGTGTGTGTGCATGCAGGCGGCGGAAGATTCTTCGTCCACGAACGAATCGCCGGCGACCGAAGAAGTGGTGGGCGCGGAGGTTCCCAAAGAATTGGATGCCGGATCGGCTGATCTGGATAACAGCGACCGCTTGAAGCCGTCGGATGATTTGGGGGCGGAGAAATCGCCGGAGGATGTGGCGGTGGAAGGTGAGGTTTGTTTTGGTTTTCCCGACGAGCTCCGTGCTGATCTTATGCTCTGCATGTGCTCTAGGTTTAGAATTTTGGTTCTTCTTTTCTATTGGATTTTTGTTGTGATGAGTGTTTGAAATTTTAGTCTGTGAATCTTTGGGCAGTGGATGCAGGGGATTCCTTGATGGATGTGGAGAAGGAGAAGCCAAGTAGACCTCCTCTGAATCGCGGGAAGAAGTGGCAACTGAAGTCCAACGCTGGTGCTGCATGGGGAAAACTTCTTTCCCAGTGTTCACAGGTGGATTCTTTGATTTTGGTTATTTACAAGAAACTTAAAGAACAAGAATAAAATTTTGAGCCCTTGATTGATCTTTTAGTTGTGATGGCGATTCCTGTAAAATCGTGACCTTTTCCCGTTTCTTCTTTGTCATTTTCGTTTTATGGGTTCTTGATTTTTTGTGTTGAATCTCTAAAGAATAGAATGTCCAATAAAGCTTAGGCTTTCATTAAAAGACATAGAAGGCTATGCGGTAAAGTCACTTCCTTTGAAATGTGAAGTCATTTTTGTTTAACTTGTTATGAATGTCCTTCCTCTTAAAGATTCTGGTAAGTCTGATGCTAAGCTTTCTCTAGAACTAGGATAGTTTAACAAGTTAGCCTCTGATGGTGTAAGGAGTACCTACTAAACTATCATTCTGTTGAGTGGTAAATTTGCTCACATATATGCATTAACCAGTCCTGTGTGTTCTCGAGTGCAAGTGACAATTGTGGTCGTCGTAATGCATGGGGAGTCTTATTACTGATACACATGTTCATGTATTTGCTTGTGGAGCTATAATGATCTTTACACATTTTCTCATTTCTGGGTTCTTTTTGCATGGTTCTCTCTTAGAATCCGCATGTTGTCATGAATCGTCCTACTTTCACTGTTGGTCAAGGCCGCCAATGTGACTTGTCGGTGAGAGATCCAAGAGTTGGCAAATCATTGTGTAATCTGAAGCACATGGCATCGGAGGTGCATTTTGATTCCTTTGTACATTTTATACTGTTATTCTGGCTGGAAATTTGTATTGTTTTGAAGCAAGTATAATTCTTATTTTGATGTTGACTGATTATCTTTCTGTCTATATAATAATTTCCTTGTTTGCCAAATTCAGAGAGGGGAATCAGTTACTTTACTTGAGATCACGGGGAAAAAAGGTGTTGTACAAATCAATGGCAAAAGTTACCCCAAAGATTCAATTGTTTCTATAAATGGAGGTGATGAGTTGATCTTCAGCTCGTCTGGAAATAATTCTTATGTATCCTTTTTCCATATTAAATTGACCTTTCTTTGTGTGAGGTTACTGTTATTTACCATGGTTTTTAGAGTATTTAGTATATTCTAATTTTCTATCTGTGGATGAACTGCACCAATATAAATCTCATCTTTCATTAGAAAAACCCTGTATGTTGCCTTAACTTTAGTATTAGATCTTTCAGCAACTCCCGAACAGCAGTGAACCAGAAACACCTGTTCCGCCTTCAGTCGGTATATTAGAAGCTCATGCTGAGCCTCTGAAAGGATTACATATCGAGGCAAGATCAGGTGATCCTTCTGCTGTTGCAGTTGCATCAACTCTGGCCTCACTGTCACATCTCAGTAAAGAATTAGCCCTTATTCCTCCATCCCCCGGAACTGGTGAAGATGCACAACAAGGTTCGGAAATACCATCTCTACCCTTGGCTTGTGAATTGTCAGACAACTGCGCTGTTGACGCCGATATGAAGGAGGTTGCCTCTGTTGAGAAGACAGGTGCTCCATCTCCTGATGATGTTGCCAATGAAAATTTAAATGTTGGTGCTGGGGTTGGGAAGATTGTAGGAGAAAATAATGAATTGAAACAAGTTTTGCAAATTGTGGCAGCAGTTAGGAAAGCTCCTGTGTATGATGTAACTGGTGGGGGCTTGACTAGACCTCTTGAGGAGCACAGGAAAGTCCGAAATCAACTAAAAGGTTCTTCTAGTCCTCACATGTCAATGTCAAGACATCAAGAATTCAGAGACAGTTTGCAACAACGACTTGTAGATGGAAAAGATATTGATGTTTCATTCGAAAATTTTCCATATTATTTAAGGTAAAATCTTCAAGTTAGTTTATAGACATCTTTTGTCTACCATTATAATCAACTCTAATGCTCTGAAGCACACAAACTCTTATGCATATACATGATGTAAGTGCTTATTATCCTAATCGGATACAGAGGCAAGTAATTTTTTATTATATGTAAGCTTTATATTGTTTTCAAAGTTCAATGTATTAGTTCTTTTGCATCCCCGTATACATGCATGTACATCTATGGGTTTTAGCTATTTATATGCATGTTAACTTTTATTTTGTTTTGAATCACTCGGGGTCAAATTTCAATCTTATTGTTTATATGTGTAATTACTTGCCTTTTCTTATGTTTATCATTATTTAATTTGATGTGATTAATCCCTGGTGCAAGAACCTCCTGCATTATTGTACCTTTTTGTTGAATGATCTATTTTCTCATTCTAATTTTTCCGCTTGCTTCAATTGTATGCATTTCTGACAGTGAGACCACAAAGAATGTACTTATTGCCTCAACATACATACATTTGAAGTGCAACAACTTTGCGAGGTTCACCTCAGATCTCCCTTCACTGTGTCCCCGGATATTGTTGTCTGGGCCTGAAGGTAATATAGCTCCATGTGTACTTTCTATTTATTCAAGTGTTACTTCTTCCTGATCTTCTTCCTGATTTTGAACGTTGTTACCTTTTTTTCTCCGTAGGTTCAGAAATATATCAGGAAACATTGACGAAAGCACTTGCTAAACATTTTGGTGCGAGGCTCCTAATAATTGATTCTGCCATTTTACCTTGTGTAAGTTTTGTGTCACAGGCTCACAGCTGGTTTCAGATGTTGACATTTGTTTGATGTTTCTTCAAGTTATTCTACTGTTTCTGTTGCAAATTTTTATCCAACTCATTTACTTGCCACTCAGACATATGTCCAGGGACCTGTATCAAAGGAAGTTGATTCTTTCAAGGAAAAACTAAAGGCTGAGAGAGCTAGTGTTTATGCCAAACGGACTGCTTCTCCATTACATCATCTTAAGAAACCAGCATCAAGTGTTGAAGCTAGTATTACTGGGTTTTCTGCTGTAACCTCTCGTGTTCAGCCTAAGCAGGAAGCATCTACTGCTTCATCAAAAGCCTACATTTTTAGACAAGGTATTGTAAAACTTATTTTTTTTTTTTCCAATCTATTTCCAGTTTGTGTACGTCATTCGCTTAATTGATATCTTGCATGTTTTTATTAGGTGACCGCGTCAAGTATGTGGGTTTGGGTTCTTTGCCCATCGCATTTACTCATCGAAATCCAATAAGGTAAGTTAAATTTGAAAATATAGGGTGTATATTCTTTTTATGTATACCGTTTAGTTTTGATATCCATAGGAAATACAAATAACTGAATAAGCAAGCTTATGCCATGACATACTTTGTTGTGTGTACCGTTTCATTTGTGTTTGAGCTTCCAAATAATGAAGTCCTTTAGGATGGAAAAATACATGCTGAAATTATGGTTACTATGTTTCTTACTTTCTTTTGCTACATCATGCACTTAGATTATTTGTCTATTTTTTCTCTGCTATTGAGTCTCTTCAGTGGCATTCCTATAAATATCCTTTCGTAAAATGTAGTAGGTAAATGGTAATGATGGTGTATTTGCTATATTTCACTACAGTTGGAATTTTCTGTTGATGAGCAGAATGTGTAATTCTCTTCCCATTGTTTGCCTCACCTTGGCCTTTGATATACCTTAGATTTCTTATCTGTAGAATCATGATGATTGAAAGATTAACTAATCCACTTATTGCTTGGTATTATCCCACTATATTACCTAAATTGTAATTTATCCATTCTCATTTAAATTGGGATATTGTATACATGTGCAGGGGTCCAACTTATGGTTTCAGAGGCAAGGTGGTACTTGCTTTTGAAGAAAATGGCTCCTCTAAAATCGGGGTCAGATTTGATAAAACAATTCCAGATGGCAATGATCTTGGAGGCCTCTGTGAAAAAGATCACGGTTTCTTCTGTGCTGGTAATATTTTGTATATCTAGCTTCTTTGCTTTGGTATATATGACAATACGCCCTGGAATCGGCCCAATATTTGTGGTGATTGTTGTTTTTCCTGTGCAGCTGACTTGTTACGTCTTGATAACTCCACTGGTGACGACTTTGACATTCTTGCCATACATGAGGTCTTTGAGGTAATTGTGTGCGATCTATGAAAAAAGTTTATATGTTTGCTATTCTTTCTGATGCTTTGCGTAATCTGTGTGTGCACATGAATTTTTACAAATATGCTATGATTTTATAGGCCGTGTCCAAGGAAAGTAAAAGCAGTCCATTTATATTGTTCATGAAAGACACCGAGAAATCCATGGTTGGAAGCCCAGAAGCCTATGCGACCTTCAAAATTAAGCTTGAGAGTCTTCCAGCTAATGTTGTTGTGATAGCTTCACACACTCAGGCTGACAGCCGCAAAGATAAAGTATGTAATTGTTGTTTTAATTTTCTATCTTCGTCAATGTATACATGTGTGTGTGTGTATACATACATACATTCATGTGTCAGTTATCTTGAGAACTGACACTGTTATCCAATATTGCCTTAGCTTCATCCTGGCGGATTGCTTTTCACGAAATTCGGGAGCAACCATACTGCATTACTCGACCTTGCATTCCCGGTATGTTGATTTAAGCAAAACTTGTATGGTCAATTTTATATTTCCTGGAATGAAATTGAGAAACGTTGTGTTGTACTCTTGTTAGGACGCTCTCGGTAAATTGCATGATAAAAGTAAAGAAACTCCGAAGACGTTGAAGCAGCTCTGCCGTCTTTTCCCAAACAAAGTGACCATACAGATTCCTCAGGTAAAACCACTGTTTTGGTTTTTTGTATGCTGTGCTGCTTCTATTATTTTTACACCAAGCATTGAAGGTTGTTTGAATACGACAGGATGAAACAGAGTTAGTTGGCTGGAAACAAAAGTTGGATCGAGATGTTGAAACAATGAAGTCACAATCCAACATTGCCAGCATTCGCTCAGTGAGTCCATCCCAGTCCTACCATCCCTTCCGAATTATATTCTTTCTACTGTACATGGTCTCCTGGAATTTTAATGTGGAGCAGTACTATCATAATTATATGCTACATCGTTATATTATTGTTATTATTGTAGAGGTGCCTGGTGTTTATTGTTGCTGGTGCTGGCATCCTGCAAATCTGTGTGCCATCTTCTAGGGATAACGGTTTTGTGTTTTACGTTACGTATGATTTCAGGTTCTAAATCGGCTAGGCGTTGATTGCCCTGATCTGGATATGTTATCAATTAAAGACCAAGCTTTAACTAGTGAAAGTAAGTTGAAAATTTTCATTTAGCTTACAATCTTCTGAATGAAGTGTAAATCTTCAGTTGAACGTGCTGTAATTTTTGTTCTAATATTGGTAGGTGTTGAAAAAATTCTTGGATGGGCTTTGAGTCATCACTTTATGCATACATCTGAATCTTATCTTGGAGAGTCGAAATTTGTTCTCTCGAGTGAAAGGTAAGGTACTGCTTTCATCATTCGGTATAATGTTGAGGATTTTTCTCTCTGGCTACAGTATCAGATATGGGTTCGACATGTTGGAGGACATTCAAAATGAGAACAAGAGTTCAAAGAAATCTCTGAAGGTTTGTGATATTTTAGGTCCTTCATCTAAGAACTATTTTCCCACATTGATTCACATGATGGCTTCTGCTTGATGTTGTAGGATGTTGTCACTGAAAATGATTTTGAGAAAAAGCTCCTTGCCGAGGTCATTCCACCTGGCGATATTGGAGTTAGTTTTGATGATATTGGGGCATTGGAAAACGTGAAGGAGACTCTGAAGGAACTGGTGATGCTTCCTCTGCAAAGGCCAGAGTTATTTAGCAAAGGACAGCTCACAAAAGTAAATCAATTGTTTTGATTTTTTATTTCATTTGTGAATCAGAGCTGGCTATCTTTCTTTGCTAACTGTGTCTCTCTTTTGCCAGCCGACTAAAGGAATACTGCTGTTTGGGCCACCTGGTACGGGTAAAACAATGCTTGCGAAAGCTGTGGCAACTGAAGCTGGGGCCAACTTTATCAACATATCAATGTCGACCATCTCATCAAAAGTAGAGTTTTTTTTTTCTATGAATCTTTCAATATATTTAAGTCTTTTCTTCTGCTGTTTCGGTCAACTTACTATTCTTGGTTCTCTTGCACTCAGTGGTTTGGGGAAGGAGAGAAATATGTGAAAGCGGTATTCAGTTTAGCAAGCAAGATATCTCCAAGTGTTATTTTTGTTGATGAGGTCAGTAAGATATCTCCAAGTGTTATTTTTGTGCTACTATTTTCTCTTTGTAATTGTTTTTGTAATTTTGTTTGGATTTCCTTATTTTTTTTCTTCAGGTTGACAGCATGTTAGGAAGAAGGGAAAACCCAGGAGAACATGAAGCAATGCGTAAAATGAAGAATGAGTTTATGGTGAACTGGGACGGTTTGCGTACAAAGGACAAGGAAAGAGTTCTCGTACTTGCAGCCACTAATAGGCCTTTTGATCTTGATGAAGCTGTAATCCGTAGGCTTCCCAGGAGGTATATCATTTTCCAACTTCCAAAAAGAACAATAATGATAAACAATGAAAAAGATGTTTTTTTTTTAATTACTGAAAATTAATCCTCAAATGTTGTTATGTATATGGTGCAGGCTGATGGTCAATCTGCCAGATGCTCAAAACCGTGCTAAAATCTTGAAGGTGATCTTAGCCAAGGAAGAATTGGCTCCCAATGTTGACCTTGAAGTTGTTGCTAACATGACCGAAGGGTATTCAGGAAGTGATTTAAAGGTTTGATAATATGATAAACTCATCTCATTTCTGTTGATCGATTGATTTTCTTTCAATAATGGGTAATTTTGTCTGGAAAATTGTGTCTTTCCCAGAATCTTTGTGTTACGGCTGCACATTGTCCCATAAGAGAAATTCTGGAGAAGGAGAAGAAGGTCTGTACACGCTTAAGTCAAATATATTTTCCTGTTTTTTATCTGCTGTTGTGGTTGATAATACGCTTTCTGTCACAAATGTTTCTTACTGAAAATATGTTAGTGTTCAAAATGTTAATTGAAAATCTCACGTGCAAAAAAATGCAGGAGAAAGCCTTGGCACTGCAGGAGAATAGGCCACTGCCTGAGTTGCATAGCAGTGCCGATGTTCGTCACTTGAGTATGGACGACTTTAAATATGCGCACGAACAGGTAATCTGAAAATAAAGTGAATGATGCTGTTTAATGGTCAAAAAGCAAATCATTTTTGAAATTCAGCTGGTGATTTTATTTAGTTTTTTTTCTTCTTTGAGTAGTGTTAATGTGAAATTTTTAATTATTTTTAATCTGTCCTGTCTCTACGTATCTGGAAATCATGAATTGGCTAGAGAGAAAAAAAGAAAGAAAGAACTTAACAATTGTTTTCTGATGAAAATAAAAATAAAAATGTAGGTTTGTGCTAGCGTTTCATCAGAATCACAAAACATGAACGAGCTTCTCCAGTGGAACGAACTATACGGGGAAGGTGGATCAAGAAAGAAAGAATCACTGAGCTATTTCATGTAGATGAGATGATATAATAAACACCGAAAGTAAAGCTAAGAGATGTTTAGGTCATTTTTTCGTCTTTCAATTTCCTTTTTCTTTTTGTATCCGAAGATGGTCTGGGACTGTACTCGTCCACTCTCTCTCTCTCTCTCTCCACCCCAAAACTACATGGTCCAGATGTATCATATAAATATTTAGTTGATTGGCATTATTTAACCACCAGATAAGAAGCATGTATAAAAAAGCTGTAACCTTGCTGTTCATGTCTCTACTGTGTGAGTTTAAGAGTGATTCTGACAACTCTTTATATATATTTCTTTGGGCTTCTTTCGTCCGTACCGAATAATATTCGAGTAGAACATTATTGTGATATGCTATCCAATGTACTTATAACCCAGTGTTTTGTATTTAGAGATGCATTGTAGAAAAACTTTTCCCTTTGGACATATTTTACTGTAACGTCAGATTTAAATATTTCCATTTTCCTTAAAACACTGAATTAGAAAACTTTGACCATGTATGGTTTTCTTTTTATTTTTTTTTATTTTTTTTGGGTCTTTATTTCTCTGGTGTGTTACATTAGTTGGTACATGCTATTTAGATATACATTGTTGAAGGTGATTAATATCCTCCATGTTTGTACATGATATACCCTGCAATTGAAAGAAGCTTTTGGCCAGCTTTTGGGAACGTTAAAAAAAGAACATTCTTCGGACATAAGAAATTCTTTGTATAATTCTGAGCCTAACCTTTTCAAAGAAGTAACTTTTGTGTTTTGGAGCCAAAGTTCTAGCACAAGAAAGTTGAAATATATACTTGATTCGATACAAACTCGACCTTTTGACTTAGGATTAGTCAGTTTAATTTCTCGATGAAGCAGGAAAGAGACATAACTTAGCGGTAGGGTGACAGTGAGAGAGTGTCACCCTGACATGGTGGAAGTTATGAGCCTGATTATTCTTGAACCCAATGTGAGTGTTTCTATTTTGATTAGCTCCCCGCCCAATGAGAAAGGATAAGAGGCTCGTGGGGTTGATCTGAGGGGTAGGGATGGCTATGGTTCTGGAGCGAACTCTGGGCGAATATGAAGTGCATGGATCCAAATTAGGCCTTCGAGTGAAAGACAATTCCGATTCCGAACAAGGAAGCTATAAGTAATGCAACTATGAGATTCATGGAGACTTCGATCCTTAATATTCATATTATGCGAGGTGCTATAAGAGATGTCGGAATATCTGGAAAATGGCGAACGAATTTTTGGTGAAATTTTGGTAAAAGTATATTGGCAAAATGTTGTCTGAGGCAAAAGCTGCATTGTTTTATCATGGAAATATGAATTTAGATCAAGAATTCAACATGTAAGCTCCTAAATTGTCCATTACATTTGATTTTAGATAAGATGTACAGTAACAAGTGAAGCCCGCCAAGAATGTGAACCGATACGAACCGTCTACACGTAAATTATAAATTGTATTGCCCATATGTTCAACCACTATCAAATTTTTTTATATTGCTTATATGTTCAACCACTATCAAATTATTTCACGTGTTTTTTTACCATTGATTTCATAAACTCATGTGGGTGTTAGTGTATATGTGCAAATCAATAGTGAAAAGCATATGGAGCAGTGCCCCCACATGCAGGATCGAACGTTCCCGATTTTTAGGGTGCTCCTTTGCATATTTCGTTCTACTCATGCAAATTACGGAATGCCATGCCATGCCAAAAAATCGATTTGAACTAAAATAATCATGTTAAGACATTAAATCGTTGTTTGTACCAGCCATGCCAAAAAATGCATGCTATATCCATAAACTTTTCGACGCAACAATCTCTAAAATAAGGGTTGGAACTTTATTAAAACCATTTGTGTGAGTACCGTGCCACGCCGTAGGACAAATTTTTTCATTGACAATGCATACAATCTAAACTGCCAAGCATACCTAGAAATCTCCGAGCCACACCTTCTTTTAATAAGTTAGTAATGTCATACTTATCTGGACTTCTCAGATATTGTTTTTAAAAAACTCCAGTGATAGCATCAGAAAAATGTTTTAAGCTCTCAATTGCCGTGCTTTCTCTAATTTGCACATATTCATTAAGGAGATCAGCTGCACAACCATACGCCAACTTGTGTACCGCCGCGATCATTTTTTGTAGAGGACTTAGCCCCTTTTTCCCCACTGCATCAACCTTTTGCGTAAAATAGTCATCGTAATTTTCAATTGCTTGTTAAATGCGTTTGAATAATTTTATATCCATCCGAAATCGATGGCGAAAATGTTTAGGTGTGTACTTTGAGTCATCGCCTTTGAAATAGTCATTAATAATTAATTCATGACGTCCTTGCCTATACCGATGAATGTAGTATTCTACTACTAGTCGTTCCACCATGAGGGTGTGACGTGCTTGTTAAGGATGAAGAAATTATCACAGAAATGTGAAACGAACAAGTTTGTACAACCTCGCAGTTCAATTCCTCAAAAAATGTATCATCTCCTAACGGTTTGTTTATTAGTTGCTTGGTTAGCAAAAACGCATCGTCGCTTGATGATGAGCTATTAGAATGTAATTCGTAGTCAGTCGAATCCATTATGTATAAATAAATTAGCGTTGAAAATATACATGTTAGTAAATAATTTATTAGTCAAATAATATGAAAGATGTACAAATTTGTTGTGAAATATCTGTATATGTTGGTCTTCATGTAATAAAAAATATTTCTTAACATGAATATATAAAATTATATTTATTTCTTCATGCCACACTTATTATATATATATTTCTTAACATGAATATATATATATATATGTATATATATAAGTGATTTAGTTTTAGCAATAGAGGATACATGAATATATTTCTTCATGATTGTATTATTAATATATATACATATATATATATATATATATATATTATAATAACTCAAGGCAAGATGTATTTAATTGCTAGCTTAATACTCAGTATTATTATTAAATAATAATAGTAAAAATAAAATATATATCTCTATTTCACCTATTTGATTAAATTTTTGTAAAACTTCCTAGATTATTTTACTAACTATTAAAAATGTATAACTATATATATATATATATATATATATATATAAATAATAGTAACTAAAATCTAGTAAAAAAAAATGCAACAAACCTGATTTAAATGTTTTGTCTGTTTTATTATGTGGTGCTTATATAATTTTTAGTAGTCGAATGTAATGTATATTCTTTATATATGTGTGCTTACTAGATGTAATGTATATTCTTTATATATGTATGCTTACTGTTATGTGTAACTAGATGTACACCTGTTTTTATGATGCTGTCTTACTTTTCTTTACTTTTTTTCTTTTATTGTGTTTAAAAGTTTTAGATGTACCGCTAAAAATTTGATTGCTTTCATTTTGGAGGACTTCCACAATTTAAGCCATTGTTTGATTGCCTTCATTTTGGAGGACTTCCACAATTTGAGGATTGGCACGCATTTAAAATGAAGGACTTCCACAATTTGAGGGTTGGCAACTCTAGGATCTAATTTTTTTTTTTACTATATATATATATATATAGACATTTTGCCAAAAATTTACTCTTTCTTACTTATCATGTACAATATATACAATATATATTATAAGCATACTAATTTATACATATACCCCATAACATAAGCATATCTAATTTATACATATATCTCATAAACATTACTAGTTAATAAAATGATCTATATACTAAGAATTTTTAACTATATTATATTTTTGTAAATAATTTTACACTTTTTAAATATAATATTCTTTTTTTTTTTTTTTATAATATAATGATTAGTTAATGTTCGAAATATGTGAAAATAAATAATTTTAAATAGGGGTTTGAAAAAGAATTGTAAGAATTTCTTGTATAGAGCCAATTGTTGAGAAGTATCGTGATTTGAAATAATGTTGAACACTAATTTAAAATATCAAAATTCAACAGTTATGTCTATTGTAGAATATTTTTATAATTTATGTTATATCGAATTTAGAATGCAAGTTAATGCCTTATATGCATATAAAATGTGATATTATTAAATATTGTACATTCCTTCTAGAGGTGTTATTGGAGTAGAGTTGAACCTTATGTCAAGCTCGTGTTTGTTTAATAAACGTGTTGACCTTGCTTGGCTCATTAAATAAACGAACAAAAGTGTGATCCTGAGCTCGATTCATTTAATAAGTAAATTTGATTTGATGCTTGACGGATCAATTCGAGATCTATTCGCAAATAATTTTTTTCAAATGACAATTCTAGTCCCTTAAAAAAATAATTTCTGGATCCACCTCTATTGGCAAGTCCAACCGGGACCACAGTTCTTGAATCAAATTACTGCAGGAGACGCAAACCTAAAATAAAGAAAGGTATTTTATCAGGTAAGAAAGAGGGGTTCCCTACTAAAAAATTTCGAGCAATTCATGAAGAAAAATACCTACGCTTCAGTTGACTATTCAAAAGTTTTAGTTGTGGTTTGTACTAAGGCATATCTACGCTTCATTCAGTTGACTCATAACTGAGTTGCCGTGAATTAGCTAACGGAACATTTGGGAAAACATAACAGAAATCAACGATGCCGTGAAATTTTAATAACAGCAAATTCTTCTATTAGAAATAAAGGATACAATCCATATTTTGGCACAGTAGCCCTAAAGTATAAACGAAATGTACATTCCCCATGTGCAAAAACATTAAACCAACCAAAATCTTTAGTTTCAAGAAAAACTCATACCACACGAACTGAGGTCATTCAGAGGCTTTTCTTCTGCCCCTAGCAGGTGAACTAGCTACAGGCAAAAGATACTTATACTGGCAGGGGATTTGACCACCTTTGGCTAATTATGCTTCAAAATATTATCATCATGTTCCTATAGTTTCTTATAAACACACACAAACACACACATGTACAAAACTTCTGGTATGCAAGCATTTTCCAATAGAAAACAGCCTCGCATCGAGCCCAGAGGTCAATTTAGTTTCAGCCACTTAGCAAAGCTAATCAGATTACTAATTAGAGTAAATATTGGAGCAGAATCTACTTCAAATCACGCATACAATTATAGAAACAGATAGTAGTCATTTCAACCGAGGTATCAATGTTGTTCGTTTGTTTTATCCAAAGTATGTATAAATCAAAATCTACCTTACAATCAGAGATATACATAAAAATCGAGTGAAATCTGATCAAAATCTACAACAAGATGGATTATTTGGGGGAGACAAACTTACATTTCTAACAAGATTATAACTGAGATCAGCGGCCACGATCCCGTATGGCCCTCACCAATTCCTTTTCAGAGAGAGACTGTTCCTCATTACTTCTTGGTATGTCATCTGGTGATCACCTCTTGATAACCATCCATGAGTGTCTCTTTGGGCCCAAAAGCTGGCTTTCTATTATTTTTCACCTCTCATTAAACCGTAGATTCCTAACTAGATAACCAGTCATAATCAATGCATCACTTAGGTAGAATCTTGCTTACTTGAATTCGAAGACGTCTCAATTATAAGTTGACCATTGAACAAGGTATCAGCCCCACCGAGTTGCGAATCTCAACTCCCTTATGTGAAAATCAGCGTCGATCAAGAAAGAACCTTCGGTAGCCAGCATGAACACTAAATTGCAAGCAACTCGATGATAACTACTTATGAGATACATCGTGTCGTTAAGGCCGGCACTACCGGAATAATGACTCAGAGTCGCGGGATATCCTCATAATCTATAAGAATCGTTGATGTAGGTGTAGTTCCGTAAGTCGGGTATTGCCTTCCCCACCTCATCATTGATGGACAACTCCTTTTTAAGATTAAACATTTCTTGTAGTTCTGGTTGGTTGAGTCGAGAAACAATCCTTGCCAAGTTGTCACCGCAGAGCCGAGCAATGAAGGAGGTGACTGAATTTCAGCCCGTCCCATATCCATGCCTTAAAGCTCAACCGATTAGAACTATAAGAAATGTTTAATCTCAAAAGAGGAATTGTCCATCAATGATGAGGTAGGGAAAGGCATTACCCGACGTACGAAACTACACCTACAACAGCGATTCTTAGAGATTATGACTCTCATGCATTATTCCTGATAGCACCGGCCTAAAAGCTTACCCGACAAACGATGCATCTCATAAGTAGTTATCATTGCTTGCATAACAACTTAGTGCTCATGCTGGCTACCGAAGGTTCCTTCTTGATCAACGCGGATTTTCACATAAGGGAGGAGGTACACATGAGATTCTCAACTCCTGGAGTTAATACCTTGCTCTATGGTTAACTTATAATTGAAAAGTCTTTGAATTCAAGAAAGCAACAAAGAAGATTCTACCTAAGTGATGTATGGATCATGGAAATAATGCACCTTGCTCTATGGTTAACTTATAATTGAAAGTCTTTGAATTCAAGAAAGCAACAAAGAAGATTCACGTAAGTGATGTATGGATCATGGAAATAATGCGGGATGAGGTATTCTCTGTGCATTTCATTGCAATTCATTCCTAAGCCTCTCCCGAAGGGACTCCAAATTAGGCACGGTCCACTAGGGTCTTTATTCAATTCCACCATTCTCGATGTAGACTTGCTATCACACTATACCCTCTCTTCACATGTGGCTNAAAACTTAGGCCAGATTCGTCTATAAAAACAAAATTGATATATAAAACCGACTTCATTATTTCGATTATCATCTTTTCAACTTCAAAATTTCGGATCTTGACCGAAAATCAAAAGATGAAACCAGATCCGTCTAGGTTTCTTATGATTACCGAAACATTTCTTATAAAAACACAGTAAAAAAAAAAAAAAATAACTAATGAATGAAAAAAATAGATTGTTAACTTATATGAGCTCGATTTGAGAATTTTATTTAAGATCCAGTTGCAGTCATCTCCAAATAGGATGAATCTTTTCAGATTTACATATTTTTCTTCAAAAGTCGATCTCAAACTGGTAATAAATTAATAGAAGCGTAAAACAAAATAAAGTTTCAGTAAATAAATAAATTAATTAACTTATAGGACGAAAATAAATATCTAACATTGAGAGAGAGACATTTTCAGTAACATAGAATGCAGATTAACGATTTTCAGGAAGACAACATCAAGAATCAACAAAGTAAAAACAAAAACAAAAAAGCAAATAAAAATGAAAATACTTAACGTGTGCAGTATCAAAAAGAGGATATTAAGAAAAATCAAGAGAATTCTTTAACTGCTGCCCTCCCCTTCTCGCTGGCCGGAAAATGTTTGAAGGAAACAGCATTTTCCAGGGAGGTTCCCTTTCGCCCATTTTCTTGTCCTGCTTGGGTGGGTATTAGGGGAAGAGAGAGAGAGAGCAATCCAGTTCTCTGTTCGACCGTTGGGGGAGAGGAGAAAGGTAGAAAGTACGGAAAAAGCTTTCATCTTTGATGGAGGATGCTAAGGATTCAAAGGAAAAAGGGCTGATTCTGGTTGAAGAGGGCGGATCTAGGGAAGTTAAGGTGGTTGAGACGGCAGACGGGGAAGTTTTAGGGTTTCAGAGAAGGGGCAATTGAAAATGAGAAAGGCGTGGCCAACGAGGATGATGACCAAAAAGAACTGGGCTGTGTTTTGGGCTAGTGGTATAATTATTAGTTGGGCTTATATCATTATCATTATTGTTATAGTTATTTTAAGTCTTTGTTAGTATTGGGCTGTTTGTAATTTAAGCCCACTTTTCAGTTGGTTAGGAGATGCTGTTAGTGGGACCCGCTTGAGGGTGATTTATGCTGTTTGTCAGACTTTATGCAGATTTTATGAAATTCACAACTAATTCTATATCCCTCTACTTTTTCTCTCTACTCACCTTCCCTTTCATCTTCTTCTTAAATTTCTTCTGTCAAATACAGAAATCAGCTTAAATTATTATACAAATTATCCAAAAGTACATTATATTAATCGTGACTAAGGGCATTTACATCCCTTAATATTCATTCAATCACAATTTATACTTTCTCTCATCCACATCATCTCCACATCATATTTCCACTAAACATCTCTCTATTTAAACACACACTCACATTCAATCATTCATTTAAATACAAATATATGAGACCCATTACCCACTCATTTAATATTGTTTCTATATTCTATTCTTAAAAAGACTGAATAAATAATTAATTTAAAACTAAAAAAAAAAGGAATGCGTTTAGTGGACCCAAGGTACATTAAAAAAAGAAATCAGAACAAAAAAAGGCACCCAAGGTGCATTAAAAATAAATGAAAAAAAAAAGAGCACAAATGTTCCGTTCAATGGAATGAACGGATATATGGTGGCCCACCCCTTAATGAACAGCCACAACACAATGAATGTGAATTGACCATTTAAACGGGGCAAATTAATGCCCGTTGTGGATGCCCTAACAAAAGTTTGAGAAAATGCGCACTGGTTTGAAGGGCATGCCGCATTAGACTATCCTTATCCCCAATTTAATCCAACCCAACTTAATAATTAGAATTTTTTTCTCTCTCCTCCACCTACACAACTCAATCTTACAACTCAATTTATCTTTATCACCAACCCAACTCAACCTCAATTTTAATTTATTTTAATTTATTTAAAAATTATAATTTTATTCTAAAATATATAAGTGTGGTATCTATTTGTAGAGAATGAAAAAATATGAATTTTAATATCATTTTTATTTTTTTTAAACAAAAATATACATTTATCCAATTAAATGGGACAAATATCCCATTCTTAAATGATATACAGGTTGCGACCCAAGGTCACAATGTGACCTGGGTCGCTCAATTTTCACGACCTGTCCTCTATTTTTCTTTTTTCTGTTTTTTTTTATTATTTTTTAATTGGTGACCCACTCATTGGGGTCACCGTTAAAGCTAGTCTTAGAGATGTTAGGGTTTCGGACTAGTCTAGCGGTGTTCGGGCTTCGGGCTAAACAGTCCGACCTAAAAGTCCGAATTTAAATGAGCTACCAATAAATGGACTTAGCCCTAAATTTAATGAGTTTCGAGCTAAACGGGCTATACAGGCTGTAATAATAATAATATATCAAAAATAAAAATAAAATAAAAAATTATAACAGCTAGTTAACAATTTTTTTTCAATGACTATTTAGTATTTACCACTCTATATATACAACTATGCTTCATATATTGAACACAAATTACAAACTGTTAAATAACATATTTTTTATCAAAAGAAAAAAAATGTTCGAACTATTGCTTATAACTAACATTTTACTAGTTATTTGGTACGCTTTGGAAATTTTTATAATATTGCATGATACTGTTGAATTTATATTCTATCATTATATTTTATGTGTTAGGTCTGCGTTTTTTATTACCCGTTCTGATTGGCTTAAGTATTTTGGTGTGAAATAGAATAACAAAATTTGTTAATAATTATCTTTTAGAATAATAATAACATGTTGTAGCGCATAATTACATATGAAGTAGAATAACAAATTTGAAATATATAAGGAATCATCTTGGGATATTCCTTATCTTGCTAAAAACATTTACACTGTCCAACCTAAATTTAACATGCTAGCCCTAGAGGTTTTCGGACTAGTCCTAACGGTCTTCGAGCTAAACTGTTCGGGCCTAAAAAACTTGAATGTAAATAGACTACCAATAAAAGGCCCTAACCCTGTTCTTTTTTGGGCTAAACGGGCTGGCTCATCGGGCCAGCCCGATGATCATGGTTAAACTACACATAGTAGTTTGATCATGGTTATGCACGTCACAGCCGACTTAATTATAATTAATTTTGGTAAAATTGGTAGCTATAAAAAGTATAGTGTGTTTGACAAAAAGTTTTATTATTAAAAACCAAAGAAGTCGTCTTTATTGAAAAATTTGAAGAAAAATACATTTCGTTACAAGTTTGAAAAAAACTTGAATTAGCCTATGTTTGGTAAAACTAGCTGATAAGCTAGTTGATAGCTAATAAGCTAGTTTATAGCTATATGTTGACTATGTTTGGTAAGCCAATAGCTTATTTGGGTGGCTTATAAGCTTCCTGTATTCAAATAAGCCTTGTTTGGTAGGACGAACTTTTTTAAAATGCTCGAGCTTATTTCATAAGCTACTTAAGTAGCTTTTTAAATAAGTTAGTTGAATTTTTTATTTCAGCTAGCTTATTAATTTTACATCACTTTTATCATATAAGCTAGTTTTTCAGCTATAAGCTATAGGCTATGTTTGGTAGCTTATTTGGTTAGCTTATAAGCTTCATGTTTTCAAATAAGCTCCGTTTGGTAGGGCGAGCTTTTTTAAAAAGCTCGAGCTTATTTGACAAGATTCTTTGGGTAGCTTTTCAAATAAGCTAGTTGAAATTTTTATTTCAGCTAGTTTATCAGCTAATTTTACCAAACACTTTTATCATATAAGCTAGCTTTTCAACTATAAGTCATAAGCTATAAGCTATATAAGCTCAAAAATTACTGATAAGCTATAAGCTAGCTTATCAGCTAGTTTTACCAAACATAGCCATAATCTTTTAGTTTATAGCTTATAACTTATGACTTATAGCTGAAAAGCTAGCTTATATAATAAAAGTGTTTGGTAAACTTAGTTGATAAACTAGCTGAAATAAAAAATCCAACTAGCTTATTTGAAAAGCTACCTAAAGTAGTTTTTGAGATAAACTCCAGCTTTTTAAAAAATGTATGTCCTACCAAACGAGGCTTATTTGAATACAAGAAGCTTATAAGCTAACCAAATAAGCTATCTAACTTATTTGGCTTATCAAACGCAACCTTAATATCTGGCCAATAGAGTTCGAAGTGAAAGAAGTTTCTGCATACTTCATACAAAGCCTTGTAGAAGATGATGAGAAAACATGTTGATGGATGTCATCTATATTTCTCATTTAATTTTTTTATTTTATTGATTTTGAAATCTTGTCAATTCGTTAATTTATCCGTGTGAAATCTTTGAATTTATGTGTTATTACACCTGCATGTATTTAGAAGGATGATGTAAATTACATATATAACACTCATTCTGTCCATGGAATTTGGTGAAGTTTATGGAATGATTAATGTTGAACTATTTTAAGGGCTTCTTCTAAAAGTTTGAATGTGGCCATCCCCATATAATATAACCGTAAAAGATAGAAATATTCTTCCCTTAGCTTTTAGCATTCATTATATAATATGTAATGCTTTCTAAAGAGAATGATAAGACCTTTGATAGAAAATATGAACAAGGTCATGAGTCTTATGAAATTTGAAACTTTTTTTTTTGTTTTTTTTGGTGATATCTTCTTTCACAATCATTAGTTGCCTGTAAAGGCTTCTCGACTAGGAGTGACGACTTTTATTGTGAAATTGGTCCAACAGCCCTTTTATGAGCAACAAATAGTGTACTTCAATTGAAACTTTGCTCTTCACCTCACTTTCTAGAGCTTCAGTCATTGACTGCAAACCAAGGATGTCACACTAAAGGTGATTCAAATCAAAACTATGCATTTGATTAACAGATAAAATCCAGATCAAAATCATGGAACTCAAAGTTCAAGTAAAACCTTCAGCATCAATTTTTAGTCTACAATTGTACATTAACTATTGAAAAACTAGACTATAGGATGTGGGTTCGACCCAAATTGCCCCCATTTTCAGTAACGGCAAATATGTCAACTGGAACCTGTATCCCATACAGACCACAGACCTTGGTCCAAAAATTTAAGAAAAATGATGTGTAGCCATTATACTCATTTGAAGAGATTTCCAACAATGGATAAAAACCCAGTGAAGAAAGTCGATAGAATCGAACTTACCATACCGATTATGAGTTCCACTTATTTTTCGACTAAATGAAACACATCAAACAATCAGCAACCCATATCACTTGCAAGGTCGGCTAAAAAATACAGCACCACAAATTGGACGGAAATATAGTACCACATGAAAGAGCACACATGCCGATGTTCTCATCAGTACTAAGATTGATAAGGTAAAAGGATCCTCTCTCTTTCAAAGAGAAACATGTCTTACGTAACTAAACTACCAAACTCAGTAACTCCCGACAGAAAGGATATAAGCATTTTGTAAGCGACGAAGAGTTAAAAGACAATCACTCATGTACTTGGTGCAGTTTTTGCTTTGTCCTTGGGAGCTTCTCCCTCTGCCTTGTCAGCAGCAGCTTTCCCTTCTGGTTTGTTGATTTCTACAAACCAGTGACAGATAAGTGTGAACAACAGTTGATGGTATACGAGATATTGAGCAAATCTTTAAGTAGCATGCGATAGATTGATTTCATTTCACGTCTACCGAGGAAACAATATTACATAAATAATATCAAAGGTTACATTAACTAGCCAATCAGTTTAATTACAATAGACTGTTTATATCATAGAATAACAACCACTTGAAGTGTTAGCCCAAAATCATTGTTGATGTTCGCATATAACCAGCAAATGCTCAAATCCAATTTGTATACAAGAAATCTAAATTAGGTCGTACTTATGCCTATTTCAAAATCCCAAAGAAAAAGGTTTTATTAAAAAATATATATACAGATGCCAACACAAAAATAAATCCAAATTCTTCGGCAGACTTATAGTAAATTACCAATCATTTCAACCGATGAAATAAACTAAAGAGACAAAAAACACTTTAACAGTTTAACTAGTACCTTCATCATCATCAGATTCCTCAAAGTCATCTCCCATACCATCCAAGCCGCCTAAACCACCCATATCACCCATGCCACCCAAACCACCCAAACCACCCATGCCACCCATGCCACCCATACCACCCATGCCACCCAAACCAGCCATACCACCCATACCACCCATACCGCCCATGTCGCCAAATTTCTGTAAAATAAATTAAATTGCAGAAACATAAGATTAGCAGTTAATGAAGTATCCAGATTAAGCTCAAGAAACATTGGAGACTTACCGAGAAATCCATTCCACCCAAATCAAGATCGGATGGTGCACCTGTTGGAATTTTGAATAATGCAAAAATGTCAATTATTTCCAAAAATTAGTTAGATTCCTACAAAGACAAGGCAGAAACGAAGATACAAATCTTACCAGTATCATCATCTTCATCCACCCATTTATCCCAGTCTACTTTAACATAGTGAGGTGTCTTCTCATCTCCACGCAACAATTTTGTCCACCATTTCTTCTCGGCTTTCTCCAAAACACAGAATATGTTACGCAGACCTATGTTGATCTTGCTCTCCTACAAAAACCCAATTTGCTTGTTATCCAAACACGCCAAAAATAGAGTTATATCGGTTCTAAAATGAACCATAAAAACAACCCAGATTGCCACCTAACTTAGATACTCCTAATACAAATGCTGAACAGATTCTTGAAGCTTACTACATATAATACCAAATGGTGGGTTGAAACTTTGTAGAGCCATCAAAATCAAAACGAAAATTCATTTAGCCTAAAAAACACAAATGGAACACACACGGACTTCTACATAAGGTATCCCAACATTTGCTAATCATAAAAGCATACCAAATGTGGCATGGGTACCTCACCTCCACATTAATTTTGTCGAGTAGATTCAGTTTGACTTCATAGAGATTGTTGTCTGTACCAGCAGTGGCAGAAAAGGTAAATGTTCCTTCAGGGTCAACATTAACTTTTGGATTTTTAGCATCTGACAGCAGAACAGTAAGATACACTTTGTCCTCCCTTTCTGCCCACTTCACTTCAGGGTGTCGGCTGCATTTTAGGATATTGAACAACAATTATCACACAGGTATAAAAATTAAGCATCGCTTTATTATTTTAAGAACCATCCACATACGCATAAAACTAGCCAAATTTCTGCCCCTGATATGCATATTGTTCAACAGATTACTCTGTATTGACAGCAAACATTCATAAATGACAATCTTGCATTTACACAAATGATTGAATCAGTATTTACTTTCAAAGAACCTTTCTATTTTCTTAATCATTCATAAACAGGTTAACAAGACCTAGCAAACAACTAAAACAAAACACGAAAAATCACGAGAAAATCAACCTCATCGAAACATGAACTCTCCCTTGAAGAAATAACTCATCAGCTTCTGCTCTCATACATCGAGTAACAATCAAGCTTTAAAACATACGAAAAATGCATCGAAATCGAAACTTACAATCGGGAAACTAAAAAAAGACAAAGAGATTTTCAAGTTTCGCCATGGAGAAATAGAAGAACGATTACCGTGCCATGGCAATCGAGCCTATCGGACTGAGTTCGAGAAGAGAAGTATTTACCTCATTTTCGAGTTTGACTAGCGAAGAAGATGAGGAGCTTGATTGGAAAACCCTAGAAACAAAGCACAGAGAGAATATAGTGTAAACGAGCTTAAGTAGGCACTGCCTTTAAACCCTGCTATAGATCATTTCTCAATCGCTATTCACCGCCCCCTTTTACTAGTCACCGCCCCCCCAATTACTCTTTTGCCCCTCTAAACTTTCTATCTCTCTAAACTTCCGAACTTCAACGAACGGTTCGAGCGTCAAAAAAATTCCAAAAAAATGTCGAAAAAATTCTACGGCCTCGGCAAAGGATTCTTCTCCAACAAGGTAATTTTTTTTTTTTTTTTTTTTTT